GGCAGCAATGAAATATCGTTTCAGATAGCGAAGCTGATGCATAATTATATGGAGTTTGGACCTTGTACTTTGCGGTGGCTACACCCAATATAATGCACATAATAAATCACCCTTGTTTAGTTTGCTCGCAGTAATACGTATTGAAAATCCAGCTCATCAATGCAGCGTGTTACGTGCCAGCTGTGGCTTATTCGACCACATCGTTGAAGGTGAACGATGTAGCATACGCCCTCATCAAAACGTATCTACGGGTGAACGTCATCGTCCCCATTATACCACAGATCGAGATTCTCCAAAGCCATGACCACTTGATGTTTTACCGACTTCACATATTTTTACGCCATTTTTCATTGCAGAGGATAGAACAAACATGAGCATAATACAAGAAATGGTCTGTTTTGATATGTATTAAATGCGGTTAGGGCTATGATCTACTAAAGCAACGTAATAAACGCGCATATTGTTAGTTTCCAGGATTCCTAAGTTTACATCGCGACCTAAAACGCCCTCTCTCGACATTTACTTAAAATGTACGGACATGTTAGTGGCATAAATTGTATTGGTACATAGAAAGAGGCAGTTGGTAGCCCAGACATGCTATATATATATAACAGGGCATTTTGTAGATCAGAGTATTTATGAAATAGCAATTGTGAATATAGAAGAAAAAACACTGAAAAATTATGTTATATACAGGCTTTTTCCCTATAACTAGGATTATATATTTTCATTAAACACATTTAGATACGAAACATTACAGTTCAAGTATTAAACATTTAATGAAAACTGTTATAAAGAATATGTAGATGCAAAAGCGTCTTAGAATTGAGCAGATAAATAGCTATATATTCAAAACTTTCAAAATATGTGCATACTTTGTCACAATAGAAATAATATATTCAGTTGAAATATTCTGATAAGAAAAACAATTCACAGATAATGATTTTTTCCCATAAATATATAAACTTAGTATACGAATTGGATTGTCTCCACATGCTGCATTATTCATATTATCGGAGCGTGTATCTGGAGAATTTCTAAAACACTGA